CGACTTCTCCGAAGTATCACTCTGAATCGTAGGACTTCCGCAGGGTCTCAAAATGCTTATATTCGACGCATGAATCTCGGGCAGAGCAGATTCACCCGTCCCGTGCCAACAGGGTGCATTCATCAAGCGGAAACTCAGCACCCATTGTTGGGGAGGAGTCCCGGCCGTTGGTCGTGTTCAAGGATGATGACGACGGTCCGGGATATCCGCCGATTTCGAGGGTCCGGATGCACAACTCCACATTCACGGTCACCCTTGCCCGAGAACCTTCGCTTCCATTCTTGATTCTAGCCAGGGGCGTAGCTAGGGGGGGCGGCCGCCCCCTCTACGGGGCTCCAACAATGTAATGGGGGGGGGGCGCCCCCCTCCTCATGTTAAATTGCCATAGAGGGGGCGCCTAGCTACGCCCCTGATTCTAGCGCTCCCATCTCGGAAGGCTCAACGGGCTCTGTGGCAAAGTCTCGCTGCAGCCGGAGTCCAGATGTGTGTGTAAGAGCATGGGAAGTATTCCGAGAAGAGACCGGATCTGCTGAGCCTCCTGCCTCGACGCCCGTCCTGGATCGGTGTCGAGACAGGTCTCCCTCCTTCGTGCACCAGGGAGCCCCGGAAGAATCGGAAGATGAAAATGGCCTTGACAGTGCTGACTGCAAGATTTTGCGAAGCTGGAAAGGAAAGATGCACGGAGGAGAGGTTGCAAAGCTTCGAGATGATCACTAGGCATTGCAGCGGTTTCTAACCGCGGTTTAAATTCGTGATCAATCGCATGTATATTTCGATTAATAATCGCAAATCGAGGCCTGCCAATCCAGACGTCAAAAGGCCTGAGGATCAGTCATAGCTCCTTCAAAATGTCTCGAAAATTTTTCTCCAGCCTATTACCGGATACGAGAACGAATAAAATTTGATTTCCAGAAGAGTTTTCCGACAATTGGCTCAGCTCCTAGAATAGCTCGAGGAATATTATCTTCGACCTGGATCTCGGCGCACAGCACGTAACATTGAGATATCACGTCCGAAGGCAGGTTGGATGTAAACCTGGCAGCGGCGGAGGGTGCATCGACGTTTTCGTTGCTCAAGCGTTCGAAATAAAACCATCAACGATACTCTTTGCTCGCGCTGCGAAAGCCATCAAACGCTCCCGGCTTGATCATTGTCTTGGAGAGTACATCTTCTCTGAAATTCGTTGGACTCCAAGATCCTTCCAACTCTTGATTCATTAAACACACAAACGGGAGATTCCATTCTCTGAGTGAGCTCGTCATCTCCCTTTCCCCCCCCGAAAGCTTCAAATAAGCTACAATAGAAATAGATCCATGTTCACATGCTGATTTCGCCTCAGATTACTCGCTGGAGCGATCGCGGTTATCTGCGATCATAATCGTGGTTAGCGGTTTTTCGGCTCCGGTCAATCGAAACCGCGGTTTTTCTGAATCGCGGTTATTTGCAATGCCTAATGATCACCAGTTTCTTGAAGGGCCTCACTCGAACCCCATGAACTAGCAGTATCTGCTCTTGGAAATTCATCTTTAGGCGCAATCCATTGGAGTTCAGTGTGCTTTTCAAGTCTTCACATCTCGATCGCGAATCAGGGTTTTCATTCGGCCACATCTAGATGAGCTAGAGGTATCGAATAAGACCAGAACGCTCATTGCGACCCGGGAACCATATGAGTTTCTGTCTCTCAGAGGGGAAGACCAACCCCTGGAGTGTTACAGAAAACTGCATCAGGAATCGTAGAAATTCTATCCAGCCTCATACAGCCGGACTTGGCCACTCTCATCCTGGATATCAGGCCACGACTTGCTGTTCCCCGTGAGGAAGCGTCATGTATTCGAGTCAAGTACTCCTCTCAATTGATTGAACTTATGGCTCTCTCTCTCTCTCGGTAGGTGTCGGGCTCCGGCTCGACAGCTCCTGCCTGTACAAGTCACCACCTTCAATCTTGGATCTACATGCCTAATCGAAGGAGCACGAGCGTCTTCACTTAACCATTTTAATAACATAATACAATTTCCATTCATGGTCTGTCTATGATTCCGGGTCAGGTATATTCTCTAGCCCCTGAAAGAAAATATGGTGTTTCTCACTCAGACCATCGCCTGCACGGTATCAGAGAAAATCCATGGCGGAAGATTCGATGCGCTCTCCTTTCATTCTCTGTGTGATGACAGAACGAGCACTCACCCGGGTTTTGTACACATCGCCGTCGCCCAACCTCTCGTCTCGGAGGTAGTACCAAGCCTCTTTGTTGGTCAGGACCCGACGATAAGTCGCCTGAAAAGTTTCAGATTCGGTAATTTTCACGTGTTGTCGACCGTGGGCATCACGGACTCAAAACGAGCACGAGCTTGGGTTCGAGGAGCTCGAGGCGGAGCCGTAGAGCACACATCACAAATTGGAGTTAAGAGCCCCGATTGGAATATTGCTGAGATGCTGATATTCAGAGATCCGGATGGTTCTGATTGAAGGCTTCATCAGAGACGAGAAACTGGCCAAGGAGGGAACAGACCTTTCCGTATCGCAGGTATAGGAAGGGCTTCTCTGCCAAAGATGGAACCATCATCGCTGCCCAGATGATGGCTGCCGAAGGCAGGATGTTCCACCACATGATCGACTATTCTGCTGATTCCCCAATCCAGGAGAATCAGTGAATCAGTATCCTTCACGAACACGAAGGTTAGCTTTCGTTGACATGCGACAATAACAAATAAACAGTGAAGACGACGCGCCAGCAGACTAAAGGGCCATTGGCGCCAAAGTTCAAAGCCTACGAGGCTTCACGCGACCCTTCCGACTCCCGTGATCATCCAAGCCAGGGATCCGCAACCGGGGGGTCGCGAACCCGAAGGGCGTCTCGCAGACCCCCCGGGGGGTCCCGGAACCCATCCTAGTTCTTTCCAGCCCTCGCACTGGAGTTTCCTACGAGTTCTCGTCGATCATAAAGACAAAGCTACGTAGTAGATTGGGTGTCCCTGCCGCTCTTTATCTCGCGGATGTTAAACCTGATCTCGAATCGCTTGTTTGTGGAAAGCAGCAGGAAATCTCACATTTGAGTTTTTTTTTTGATGTAAGCATGGTTTATTTTCGAGTTGTGATTTTTTTTTCCTTTTTGGCGTTTTCCGCGGGGGCCAGGCCTTCTATCTTTGGGGGGCGACAGTGACAGCGCGGCCTCATTCTTGGAATAGTGTGGCCGTCGCTGAAACTATCGGAGATACTCATATTGTATGGGTTCAGAAAAACATCAGCCTGTCATTTTGACAGTGCAGTAGGTATAGTCTGAGTCGCTTTTTGAATAATGGTACAGAGTCTGTGGTTCGGATGTCGGGTGGGAGATTGTTCCATAATCTGGCTGCTTTTACATAGAATGATTTCGTGCCGGAGGTCGTGTTCCTCTTTTGGATTTTGATGATTCGTGTCTCTGTGGCTCGGGTACTTCTGCTCGTTCCTGTTCGAGGAGTTCAAATTCGAGCGTTTGCGGGCCTCTGTGGGTGAGCTGTTGGTGAATGAAGGTGCAGAGGTTGTACGTAATGGCCAGCGGTAGCGGCAGGAAATCCATTTCTGTCAACAGTTTTTTGCCAGTCTTGCTGAGATCTGGCTGGATAATTCTTATGGCTCTGCTTTGTTGCCTGTGAAGGCGTAGTAGGTTTTTCTTCGTCGACATACTCCAGAATCCAGGGCAGTAGTTTAGATGCGATTGAATGTAAGCTTCGTAAACGAGTTTTCCGATTCCCACTCCTGTCAGTTCACATAGAGTCTTGACAATGTAAGTGGATCGTTTCAGTCTCTTCGTGAGCTCTTCACAGTGTAGGCTTGCGTCGAGTGACTCATCCAGGACACAGCCAAGAAACTTCGCCTTCCTGACCTTTGCCAATGCAGCTCCATCTAACACGACGCTCAGATCAGGTGTCGGCTGGTTTCCTCGAGCGAATGTCATGTAGTTGGATTTCTGAATATTCAACATCATGAAGTTTTCCTCGCACCATTTAGTGATGCTCGTGAGATCTGCCTGCATTTTGGCTTCCAACTCCTCTCTCGTATCACAGATGTAGACTACTTTGAGGATGTAGACTAAGTTGGAGGAATGAGTATTGGACGGAGTATCACCATCGTATAATCACCATGATATAAAGATGTTGTGATGAAGAAAGTCGATCTCAATTTTGGAGTAGGTGTTCCTCTTAGGGTGTCGTGGAGCAGAGAAGGTTGCGGATCCCTGATCTGAGCGGAGACATTGGACTTATCGCGATTGGAGCTCCATTTCCGGCTGTGTGATGATCATTTGAATGCACCAGGGACAGCTCCCGAAATCGATCTGGGAGCTCCGAAGCAGTCGATGTCGACGGTTGGACCGGATTTCAGATTCAATTGAGTCTCTCGATCGGTTCGAGCGCGGATTTGGTCACTTTAGAGCTCCTAGAACAGGCTCGGTCAAGTATGGCCAGGACACGCTGCGGCTTTACCCAGATCTGTAAAGTCCTTTCATTGCAAACGACGACGGGGAAGAAACTCGAGACTTGGAGTGGAGCCCACTTCGGCGCGTCCCGCTTGTGGTTCCGGAAAACGGAGCGTTGCTGAGTGTGAGCTCCAGGCCGTGAGCTCTAGGATCGCTGAAGAATCAGTCAAATTCGTGAGCGGCAACAGATTTCACTCCCGATTAGAACCCGGAGAGATCCTATGCCGAAGAATACGGATCTCGCCCTTGAAGCTCACGGGAGGGCTCTGATGAGAGATCGACGGATGCAGCGACGATTTATCCGATAGAGCTCAATCGACCGTTTCCATCCCACGTTGGCTCGCAAAAAAAGCGTGCGAGACGTGGACGAACTGAGACGCAAATCTTCGCTCAAAATTCCTCCCGTTCCCCTCGGTCAGGTTATCTTCTAGAATCACGCCCTTGATCCAGATTCTCTCCACTTGCCGTTCTCTTCCGTCCGTGACTCTTTCGCTTCCTGAAAACATGACTGAGGAGGTCTATAGACTCGAACGTTTCCTGTTCTCGCACAAACAGACTAGTTGAGAGTCATCTTGCGCGATAGAGTTCTATTATTTCACGGTCATCGGTACCATGAGGTCTGTTCTAGCTCTGTGTATCACCGAAGCAGCAATACTACTCTGCGTGCTCAATCGAGTGCACGGCATTAATGAGGCAGACACCGAATGGACTTCTGACGCCCAGATGATCGCGATCGACGCCTTAGCCAAGAAATATCCGCGGATCGTGACGAAAGAGTCCGAAACCGATATTTACAGGCACAGTACATCGAGCGTGAGTCCTAGTCAGGAGACATCAGCTGCCGATCGACATATCCCCACCCGTAGGAAGACCCGTAATATCAACTAAGGCTGTTTACTTTTCTCTAGGTTTTGGAGCGCTTAGCGCACTCATTTTCCTTCATAATTAAACCTGATAAAAAAGACGCAAATCACACCTACCGCTGCGATACCATCGTCAGTAGATATCGCGGACAAGTTTATTCGTTCATTTTCGGGGAACCTACTTGCTATCAGGTCAGTCCAATCTTTGATAAGCCTCAATAGCCGCTCCGGTATGAGTAATCCGCGATTTGAGGAATACGCGTGGGAGTCCTCGAACGAAGCTCTCAATTAGAATCATAGAGTTCATTCCTCGATAAGGAGAACCTGTACAACTCACCACGACTTCTGAGGATCAATATCTCACTCGGAGAGAATGAAGATGTCCTATAGTTTTCAAGGAATCGCTTCAAAGAATCATTCTAGTCTCCATTGATTGCGTGCCGCTGTCACCGCTGCATTACCGCATTCGGATTATTATCGATTGGGAGCAGTGGATTCTCTCCCGAGGTCGATCTATCTACCGTCATGTTCCTCCAGGTCGAATGCAAGGACGAAGAGGTTGCGCCACGGAAACCGCTCGAGAAGATTTGCCGCAAAATCTGAGATCGACTTTTTCTCAACAGTCACCACGTCAGCACTGATCGTATTCGGAAATGCCATCGGTGTCCCCCCCCGAGCATCTGAAAATCTGTGATATCATGATCCGTACCCAAATGAGTCTTTTAATGGAATAAAGGTTTAGAGCCTGAGATTGGGAGTCGGTGTTCTCCCTCGAGCTGCAGCAACGTGTGATTTCAGCAATCGGAGAGCTTGTGGGAGCCTCAGATGCGAGAAAATTATGCTGGCAGCTGATCCGGCTTCTGCCGGCGCGGCGGTTCTAGGTGTCTGATTGAGAGTACGATTATACATAAGCGACAAAGAAGCACCGCAGTCTGTCGTGTCTTGTCCATTATCATCAGCAGCCAATAGGACTGCTCCGCAAGCGAGAGCAGATCGTCCCCTGGTGAGTTTTCTTTGCTGAGAACATCCAGACTCTGGAAGGTCTAACTCAAGAAGGCCTGGTTGCCCCCTACGATATTCCTTAGTCTGATTCTCAGCTGACGTGTACGACGTAGAATCATGGAGCACGGATCCGGCGAAGGGGTATGCGGGAGCTCCGAGAAGTCGCAAACTTCAACAGGAGAAGATAGCCATGTGTCGAATCACGACGGTACACCCAAGCGGAAGCCGAGACGCTCAAGGCGACAATTCCGTCATCCGATAGAGACGCCGACCCCGCCACGGGAAACGAGGAGCTCGAAAAAGAATAGGCTCGCATCGGAGAGCCAGAAATCGTCCAAGAGAAAAGAGGGAGCCTCACGGAAAACGACCGTCAAAGCCGGTAGAAAGCGCAAGCTCGCCCCGGCTAAGGAGGTCGCGAAGAAGAGACGCGTGAAGAAGTCTTAGCCCTATTCCCTACGATTATGATTGGAATCGATTGGATAATAAAACACTGGTCTCGCTCCTCCTCACGGAATAGCAGGAATCACTCCGATCCCGCAGATTCTATCTGCTGCTCCGCCATCCTGCACAACCCAAAATCGAGTGCTCGCAGACGCAACGGGCGAAAAGACGCGACGGTTTTTGTGGAAACGAGGGAGTAACATTCGCCCGTGGTTCGAATGATATTTGTGCCGCATATAGTTGTAGTCTGTTTGCACTGCAGTGAGGTGCGGGAGTGTCTCGTATTTCTACCAAGTTCCATTATATCGCGAGCAAGCGTTCTATCATGTGGTAAACTAGATCCGTACCTTCGGAGCTCGCACGGAACAGAGGAATCGCTTGTATTCGATCAGGAGACGGCTCTAAGTCAATGGGCTGGCTAAATGCGATTCTAGAATCCAGGGAACGCAGGAGCCCTGCGACGTAATATACGCGAGTGCCGGGACACACGCGGGTTTGTTATGATTATCGCGTTGCCCTCTCCCAGGCTGCCCGACGAATCAAGCGTTTCGAAAAACCAAGGAGAGTTCGTCCTGAATCATTGACAGCCTGTCTGTTTCATCCGAGGAACAGAACTTCTTATACTCAGAGGGAGCCGTGCGTCGACTTTCGCTCGAGCGGGTCCCTTCGATTCCGGAAAGAACTTCGAGGAATTTCTCTCCTGCGCCAAGAATCGACCATGTGTTCCAACAGTGGCGGCTGTGAATCACTCCAGCGGATTGTTCCCGATGAGGATAAGACAAAAAAATGCGTCTCGTGCAAGCAGTTATCAGAGTTCGTCCTCAGAAAAGTCAACGGCTACTGCAGACCGTGTTACCTCGAAGCGTGTCATCACAAATTCAGGTTGGCTTCATTGACAGAGCCTCGAGTATCGCGCACCTCCGATGGGAATCTCCAGGATGAAGCTCGGCGCTATTCATCGACACCGAAATTATTCCACAGATCCACCGTGGGGAAAACGAAATTGATGAAACCTGGTGATCGGGTTCTCGTGTGGCAGAACTCTTCTCTCGGTGCCGCTGCGATGCGGCATCTGCTGGAAGTTCTGGAGAAAGAAAATGAGACTGCTCTGAAGAAGAAACTCCAGTTCGAGTTCAAGTTTGCTCTTGTGGAAGGTTATGACGGTACGATTTTCAACGATTTTAAAATCGCCGAGAGATGGCGGCGGATCAGCTCAGATGCAGCTGAGCGGGGATCGCGGATATTCTTTTCGATATTATTGACGAAGTTCCTCTCGAACCCATAGAACACCTCAAGCTGGATGAGAAATCATTGCGAATTCCGCTCATTCCGCCAGCCGCTCCTCAGCGCAACAGCACTCTGAAACTGTTCAACGAAAGCCTGGTCTCGCAGAAGGCTGTCATCGAGTTCGCCAGAAAACACAATTTCTCCAAAGTATAAATTCCACAGAATCCTTTCCGAATTATTCCTCAACGAATCGTGCTTCTTCGGTGGTCATTCTGACAGGCCTCTTCTGCTCCAAGGTTTTCACTTGCGACACCGGTAGCGATTTGGCTCACATCATGCTGACGTCAATCAGTCTCGGGAGGGGTGGACAGCTACCGGACTGGACGGGGGTATCTCTGGAGCGAGACGGCGTCGTACTCCTGCGGCCGTTGAGAGAATTCACTGAGGAAGAGCTCGACCGGTACCTGAAGCTGTACAGTATCGAGGTGGGCGCCAGGGATTCTCAACCGTCTCAATCCGGAGGAGCTTGACTCCTCAAGCCTCGTTCATCATTGATCATGTTTATACGATAGGCTCCGAATCGTCATTAAGCCGGCTTAAATTCCCCAGGTTCCTACACAGAAGAGATCCCCGAGCAGTATACAACGGCTCAGTCAGGATTTCGTCGACGGGCTGCAAGCGGATTTCCCGAGCACTGTCCCCACGATATGGAGGACCGCAGATAAGATCGCCGCGGACTCGAAGAGTCCCCTATCGGTGTGCGATCACTGCGGTTGCTTCAATCCAACGGACGTTGTTGGTGCGATGCAAGCTCTCGAGATCTCGGCTGAATTATCTACGACGCTAAAATTAGAGAAACAGATCCCCAATAGATGTCATGCGTGTCGCCAAATTTCAATTGATTAAAGAAACAAAGTCAATGAGGTCCGATTTTTTCCGTGTTTGAGAACATCCTATCATTTATTGCTTCGGGAGCCTTCCTCCTTCTGGTCGGATTCCGGATCTATCGTATCGATGTCTGTTCCGCTTTTTGAGGCGAGCTGTCTCTTGATTGTGTCGGTTATGAGTTTCGCCCTCGAACAGGCTAACTTGATGCACAACTCGATCTGGTCCGCCGTCAGGACGCTACCTCTCTGCTGCAGGGCACACACTTCTTCGTGGCTGTTGACGCCGACGATCAAGATCCCTGAAAGGAAAAGTTCGCTCAGAAGAATCGTTCGCAATCATATCATGGGGGAAAATTGGAGCCTTGATTCGACGGGAGATCCGTGGTCTATGGAGGAGCATTCCGCACCGAACATACCATCGCAACACGCTTCTTCCTCGAATGAGGGATCCACCAGGATTGTCTCGGTCTGAGATGGCGCATCTCCTTTTTCATCTTCTTCAGCTTGCTTCTCGGTGTCCATGACTTCGAAAAAGGCGAAGCTCAAACAATAGGGATAATGATATATGTGGAGAGGCACCGGTTCGTGTTCGGTAACTGGGTGAACCGTCATCTGTGGGCGGGATTTTCTCAGAAAGTGCTCAGACCCCACAGGAAAATTTCGCGATGAGTACCAGAGCTCTTCCGGAGGTCTGGAAGGAACTCGCACCGAAGATAAAACGTAGAAGGAGCGCGAATATTACCTCTTTGCCCACGATAGTGACTTCCGGGCGTTTGAAGTGAGCCAAGGCGGCAACTGATGCTATGCTCGCACATTCTGCGACATTCCCACCGAGGTTCATGAGAACGACATCCACCCTCACCTTGAAATTCGATGATAATTGAAAAAAAAGGACTTGATCCAAAATATTGGCAGTGCGACTCTCGGTTAGTCATTAGGGCAATGCTTAATGACCGAGAAATACCTAATGACTGCAAAGCGTAGTTTGGCAAGTTCAGCCCCTCACCTCCCATGCTCGTTCGCCAGCCACTAAACAGAGATTTTCGAGATCAACACACTCGGAGTCCCTGATGACTCGATCGAGGAGCCTGCCAATGCCAACCCGGTATTCCATTGTTCTAGAATCTTGGAGTGAAGCTGCGACAGGCGAGACATCGAATTGGATTGCGAGTCGGCCTTCATTTGGTCGCGTAGGCTTCGGCTCACATATGTGAGCAGAGCACTGAGCGAGAACCTTTGTATCGCCTGAAATATTTCACTTTTCAAAAAGTGCTGATTCGAGGCGAGCAGTGAGTTGCTCCGCGGCACCAAATTGATACTTCATGTTGATTCGAGTCGAAAAGTGCCACCGTTCCGGTCCCAGCGCTCCATATGGATCCAGGATTCCAGCGAACGACTCGAGTGGCCACCGATTGAATGAAGTGAAGCTCGGCTTACCCAGAGATACGATACAGCTTCCCGGCTCACTCAGGTAGGCTATTTTCAACTTTCTCGGCTCTCTGTGAGTTCTATCGTCGGCTCTGGTGGTCTGTTCGAGGACAACTCGACGAGTGAAGTTCGTTTCCACATCCGAGAGTGGATCCAAGGACAACATGTTGGATATGTACGGCTGAGTCCTTAAGGCGAATCACGATGCTCGGTGATGCTTGGAATTCTCTCTCGGTTAATTAAATCCCTGGATCAGAAAAGAAGGAAATCCCACAAAGGATACTTTGTCGAAACTGACTTCGGGTGTCTCTCCGGACCACAAGCCCTACAACGTCGAGCTTGTTCCAGGAAAATCTCCGAACAATGCTGCCTCAGATACTTGTGAGAATCTTCGATACCGGTGCAGTGCTTTTCGAAGATTCCTTCAATCGCCTCACAGAGGCGGTGTGTGCGCGCGGGCCAGGCCGCAGTACCTGCACTATTTACATTCTGAACCATTGGATGGACGCATCTCCCGGACCCCAAGGCGGCAGGCGGTCGGAGAACCGGGTGAAATACCCATAAACTTTTCCGAGCTAAGAGACCGCTGTGTGGATCAGGAAGAGGCACAAGGATAGCCGCTGCGTTGAGCGCAATCGCTTGTATTCAGGATAGGGAGCGGTCGCGGTTCGGACGATTGTCCAAGGCGATCGGGGTGGCTTCCGGACTTCCCGAGTATTACGGAAGGAACGGCGACATGAGCCGAGAGAAAAAGAGCTCCACTCGTAAGCCTTGACCGGATAATCTCATTCCTCCGGACAAGTGCCCGGGGCCAACCTCCGGGCCGGGAGCTCCTTACTCTTTCTCTGCTGCATAATTCCGTCACGACGGACCAAGGCTCGAACTCGGGCTCGCGCTGAGGGTCTGACTGCAGCGTATCGTATATCATTCCGTCGTTGAGATACAGCATGTAATTCGGATCGCTGGAAGTCAATCTGTCTGTCTTGGAATGGCGTATTTCGCATTCAACCGAGCAGGATCGCTCCAGTTCAAAACTTTCACAGCGAAGGGAGGCTCCGCATGTTTTTGAGGTGCCACGCACTTGAGCTGAGAATTCTGCTTGGCCCAAGCCTCATGTGCTAACAGAACAAGAGACTTCCTCTCACCAACGACCCAAAGGATCCGTGAGCCACATTTCCTCACGGCACAAAATAATCAAGGCCGTGCTCCTGAGGCCGCCCTCATGTACAGGAACGAGTCGGGTATCGTATGCGGAAACTTACTCCCGCTGTATCCAGCGATGAACAGCATTGAGCATTGGATGGGACAAACGTGACGAAGAAGACGTCGGAGGCATGATCCTCCGTGAACGCCGGCTTCTTCCGCCGTGATTGAGTCCTAGAGCGTCTAGTGATAAATAATAGATCTGAGACATGAATGACCTGGCTCGATATGTGACCACCTTCAGTCTTTTGACGATTCCTCTTGGGCTTCCTGATTGTGAGTCATCATAAGCGGTGCGAGCCGGAGGGTCAGATTCCTCGTTTCGGATAGCGTCTAGATACCGAGGGGCGTCTTGGACTCCGGCGAAGGTGTAATCCGCGAAGGTTTGTGATGACTCAGCAGCCTCCTCGCCCGGATCTCCTCAGCGCATTCGGGGCACGAGCAATGCTGTTTCTGTGGTGTTTTCGTCACACAAAGCATCGCTCGATTCCTGCTGAAGACCCGAGGGTGCGGAACGGCGTTCCCGTTTGTGTATCTGAAGCTCTGCACCTCCATTCATGCTTCAAGCACGGGTCAGCCGGCAGAGGGAGACCGGCATCTTCAGGGAGAGTCGGTCGTTCCCTGCCCAGCTTTCGACGCGATCCGATTTCCGGATACCATGGCGTCAATGTCCCTGTTCCCAATACCCCCCGAGCTTGATTTCTCCCGTGCTCCTGCAGTCTTGTGGCATTCTATGGTACGGATACATGCCCTATTCTCCGACTGGCAATCACCTTACTAACTTCAACGCCTTGTCCGGAGCCCACTTGCTGTTCTTCGACTAAACGCTTATGATAGAATATCAGTGGTCGAAGCCATCGTCCTGAACCTTGGGATTGGCGCCGAGAGACGGCAAAGGACCGACTCGTCTTCCGCACGTCTCCGCGCCCTGCGTCGCCAGAGACCTCCGTCGCAACCACATTGAGCTTCTTTCGAGGTTCAGAGTATCAACGCCAACAGATACGGTCCCCGACAAGAGCTCAGGCTGCGGTGTTGAGCAATGTGAATAGGGTATGGAAAATTATCTTAAGGAATAATTCATGCTGTTTGATGTCGGCTCGTTGTCAGAGACGGAGAAGCTGGTCGAAAGAGAGTCGCAAAGAACAGCAGAAGATCTGCAAGGGGAACGAAACATTCCTGAAACTCCCGGGAGAACGTTTTCCTTGGCTTTCCTGACGGAGCCCAGAAGCTTTCCGAAATGATCCACAAGGGACATTGACCCAGACAGTCCGATGCGTATATGATGCTCACGACTTCCGATTCCTTCACAATCTTCGGCATATCATTCTAGTCGGCCTAGGGAATGTTCATCAATGAGGACAAGAACCTTGACACGCGGGGCCTGTTATCTAGGCACGAGGAGGGCCGCTGCTGGGCTTTCAACCTCCGGGTTTCCGGCTCATCCATCCAAGTCGAGCGAGCCGAAGTAGTTGAGAGCGAATCCTGAGCCTGAGAGCTATGCGCGCGCGAGCGTTGCGCTACCGAGACTTGTTTATCAACACGAGACCGGGCATAATTTCGAATGCGACGGCTCACGAGAACGGAGCAGTGGAGCAGTCCTCTGCAGAACTCGGGCGGATTTCCGTCGGGTCGACTACAGATCGAGTGGCAGTTCCGGGCCGTCGTATCAAATTACATCGCAAGGGTGACTGTGCGCAGTACCAAACCCGCGCTGGGGACAAAAGATTGGACCTTGCTCGAAGCTCCGTGCGTCTCCCCTCGTAGAATGATTCCGGTCTACAGCAAGAACATTTGTCAACGACTACTTTAATTTTCGAATTGAACGAACTCCGCTGTGGGGTGGAGTTTTTCTCCTCCTACGCTCCCGGAGCTAGACGATGGATACCGACGACAATGAAGTTCAGGATTTGGAATTGGAGCCAGGTGGAGCTCTGGAGTCCATGATCATCCCAATCAGTGAGGAAGGACTATTGGAACATGAAGGGGTCGAAAGCCCCCGCTTGGCTTTCAAAGAGGGCTTCGACGAGAGGCTTCCAAGCACAGTAAGAGAGAATACCCGCTTTTGCGTCAAGTGGTCTCTAGTTATTATCATCCAATAGGATCCGAGTTTCCTAACCGACGTCTGACGATTCACACGTTTTGCTGGCCGATCGAGACTCTGATTCATACGCTAATCTCTTCCACGGAAGAGGGGGACCGACGATCTAACTCCGGTATTTTACAGGCTGAGAACGGAGACTCTTCGAAGGAGTCATCATGCGAAGTTCACGAAGAGGAGTCCCGGGAGCCGATCGACCTCACCGCCTACCGGAAGCACATTTTCGTTTTCTCAGAAGCCGGAAAGCCGATATACTCGCGGCACGGAGACGAAGATCTTCTCGCTTCCACCATGGGTATCATGCAGGCCTTATCGTCCTGCATTCAAAATCGGAACCAGGATCAGATCCGTTTCATGAAAGCGGGGAAACATCGTTTCGTTTATCTTCTCCGTTTGCCCCTCGTACTGGTCGGCGTGAGCAGCGACCCGTTCCTCTCCTTCCAACAGCTCCAAAACCACCTACTCTACATGTACAACGAGATCGTCTGCGTCCTGACGCACACGGTTCTCACGAATGTTTTTGAAAAACGCAGCAACTTTGATCTACGCAGAATTTTAGGCGGCTCGGAAAAACAATTCGACGCTCTAGCTGATCGTATGGATGTGGATCCGAGTTTCCTGCTCGGGGCCGTGCGCTGTCTGCCTCTGGCCGCCAGCGTCCGAGATCAGATCACCCAGGCAATCGTGCAATCGTGCAATAAGGTGAAAGACCTCGTGTTCGCAATCCTAGTCGCCGACAATCATCTGGTCACCATGGGGAGAATGAAGCGCTATCAACTCCATCCCGTAGATCTGCACTTGATCTTCAATCTTGTCCAAAGCTCCCAGAACCTCAAAGATGCCGAGACCTGGTTCCCGATCTGTTTGCCGAAGTTCAACGCGGCGGCTTTCCTGCACGCTCACGTGTCGTATCTCGACGAAGAATGCGTGTCGTGTCTCCTCTTGATAAGCGCTCAGCGTGACCAATTCTTCGAGCTGCAGGAGTGCCGCGCGAAAATCGTTGAACGGATGACGAAGAACAAGCTCTTCCCTGTGATAGCCCAGTCTGTGAAAATGGCCGGGTATTCCGCCCGTGAAACGGGCATTTTCGACCTACGTCACTTTATCTACAAAGCGAAGTCATCAGCCCAGCTGAGTTCTCCCCGTTACGAAACCGTTTACCTCCAGGAGGATAGTCAGCGTCGTCTGATCGGATTGTACCATCTGCTTCACGCTAGAATGTTCAATTCCGGACGGCCCTTGAAGATTCTTTACTGTGCAGGCGAGAGAGAAACTCAGCTCGGCTGGCATATGGTAGGCTTCGAATTGTACGCGACTTTTGAGCCTCTAATATCGAAGGAGGGCGCTGTGAAAGCTATGAACAAACTCCTCTATTGGATCAAGAAGGAAGAAGACCGACTGTTCATTATGAACTCGGCGACGTTCTGACCCAACCACGCCAGCGAGTCCTGAATGGATCTCTTACAACGACTAGATACTCTGTGCATTTCATGTGAATTATGAAGAGCTTCATTTAGAAGCGTCAGTCAGACACGGGGTAGAGTGTAAATTCATATGATATAGAATGAAATCTAATGATAATTTGGGGCGAGTTGATGCGGACTCCACCGGCTCCGCAGAGACTAGCAAATGAGCTAGATACAATAAATTAATTTTAAACACCGTTTCACGCCTGTATCTCTGTTGTTTCCGTCAGAGAGCTAACGAATAGCCGCAGATTTCTGTAAATGAAATGGCTCTTCGAATAATATTTATTTCTTTCCCTCTCAATACGGTACAATATAATATTCTATTCATCTTGACATCACACGTATCATTCGCCGGTAAAATTCAGATGTATAGCCACAACATTGAGTACAAAGGGCAGATTATGACGAGGCTTCTCGAGACACTGGCGGAGGCCAGAACTCTAGCTGAGATCCCCTTGCCCGCTTTCCAGTTGCTCGAGGTATCATAAATCTACTCTGGAAGATGATATTGTGGACATGGAGGAAAAAAGTTCCAAGTAAAATCATCGATCGATCATCCTTGCTGACGAGATGGATGCTCGAAGTGTGCTGCTCCTTTCTCCGAATGCTCCAAGTAGAATCAGGTAGTAAGTATAACAAACTCGAAAGACTGCGCCCTAATACGACATACGAAAAGTATATTGTCTCTTTGCGGCTCCCATATGTCTGTCAGCTCGCGCACGTCTCCGGGAGTCTAATCCTGGAGGACCAAATCACTTGCCGAAGATCGAGGCGAGAATGATTATCAAGATCACCAGAACGACGATACCGATGATGATATTCATCTTCATATTCTGCCACCAGAATTTCTTCTTGAGTTTACGCGAGCTCTGCTCGAACTGCGAAGCTCCAGTTTGCAGGGCCGACGCGCGATCGTCGAGGTCCGAGAGTTTTTGATCTCTTTCGAGCACCTGGAATTCCCGAATCTGATTAGGTTACGGCGGTGGAACGTTTTGGACGAGACAATCCAGGAATCGCACAGCCCGATGATGATCGAAGTAGATGTTGCTTCGAAAACTCTTAGATTCGTCCAGAGAGTGCTTCCACATATCCCCCTCCCGTATCGGGTGATACACAGGTGAGGAGATCTACATCCAAAGCTTCCATCTTAGGATCCCCGCACACTCGGCGAAAATCCCCCAATCCACCGAACTTCGGTACGCCCCCACTTAGGCTCCGGAATTCGAGCTGATATCGGTTTCGAAACCTTATAACCTCCATCCGGAACCGACCGGGGTGACTGGCAAAATCGATTCAGTCGGCAGACTTGACTGTTTCCTCCGAACGGATCATTCCCATCAGATATCTCGATCGTCCGTGGATCGGAATCGCCCTCATTGCCCTCATGCGGCGAGATCCGGGCACCGTGCATTAGGGGACCTAATGTTGAGCTAGGTGATCGGATGGATAGCTGCCACAGTACGATCGTCGAGAATACATCGGATGGATATCTAAGTCAGCAGCCGGCAGGACCTATCAGGCTCCCATTCCAGTGCCTGTACGTCAGCGGGATTAGACAGGTCCCAAACAGATGTTTGAGCCGATGCGACTCACATGACGTTTCGCTCACGTCAAATGAGAAGGAAGATCGTTCGGGGACGGGCGTGAAGCCGAATGATTGAACTCTTCACCCGGACATCGGTAGTGTCTTCGCAAAGTACCATATTCGGGTAGGACAAGGAAGTCTTTGACGGGAACCTTCTCGAAGAGTAAACAAGATGAATATCGCGTCTATCGAGTTTCAATCAGACCCAAGAGTAATCGCAAGGAAGTAAGAGGATCGTTTTACCTTCTCGACGTTCGTTCTCATGATTCCCACGACCTCATCCACCTGGGCCTGGGTCTGCTTCAAGGTGTTGGCGTTCGTGTCATGCATGTTTGACGCCATAATTCCCTCGCTAGGAAGCTGACTTTGTGTCGAATCACAAAATGGCAGCGAACAAGAACCTCACGAGCTCAAAAACGCGAACTCGCTAGAAGCGTGCACCTTTCTCTGAAATCTGGCAATGGTTCTTTGCTGACAGCCACCGAATGATTCAACCTGTATGATTCAACGACGGGAGGGGACCGGGCGCACGCCGACGACGAGAGAATGGACGCCTCTCGACTAGATCCACCACAATCCACTCGACTGCACACAAAAACAGTGGCTGCCAGATGAACGCATTCTTTCGCGGTCAGGGCGGTGCACTGGGAGCGTTGCGCTAGACCCGCCAACTGATTGAGACTTGAGACATGGATTAAGATTGAGTGGGATCACAGTCCTGTTCTACAAATCTCAAGAACTCATCATTGATTCTGGCATCACAGAGGTCCAGTTTGAGATGTAGTAGCATTATCATTGCTCGCGGAATGATCTCCGTGCACGGAGACCGCGGAGCCTTGAGGAATGAATTGGTATGAACGAGCGATCCATGGAGCACAGGTACGGGTTCCGCGAAATGCTACTCGGTGTCGCGAGATCGTGAAATGAGTAGTGGCAGTACTTCGGTCAGTTGAAGGAAGGCCGAAAGATGGTTGAATCGGGCTTATAATTTGGTGTCTCGCTCACACTTTCGAACAAGGTGGCGTGTTTGTCACGCCGCATGGGATCCATCGCAGATACCATAGATAGCGTCTCCACTTAATCTGACTGCGTCCTAGGGGATCTCCCTCGTCAGGGATTTCGTTTCTTCGCATCATTCTCCATCGCTTGGAATCATGGCCAACTTGATACGAAGTAACATCGAATCGGCGTGATCACGTGTTTTATTTGAGTAAATATCTCTTTATGACTGGTATGGACCGGAGCCTGGAGTCGGCGGATCCTGACTATCACATATTTACAGGAAAACTTGAACCGGTATAAATTCGAAGACTACATAACAGAAGATATATGACTTGAGTGTTTAAATTACCAGTGAAGCGAACCCCGCAAGTATGCGGGGGATTCTTCGTCGACGCTTTCCATGACTTCGTTCGTTTCCTAGCGGATTGATCGTACCGCGGACTCATTCGTTGAGGGCTTCACTAGCTTGTTTCTGATCTACCTGCTCCGCAACGGCATTCACGAGTTTGTTGAACTCGTCCGGTTTGTCTGCGTACACATGATGCCCCGCTCCCTACAAATAAAAAGCTTGAATCAGTTCCCGCTAGCTGCGTTTTGAGGTCGCATCCGATTCTTTCGGCGACCTATGGAGAGCGAATCCGATCAGGCTCATCACATCCCGAATATCTTACCTCTACTACTTCAACTTCGGTGTTCGAATGCGGCCTGATGTGCTTGACTCGAACTCCTGGACCTTTGTCCACCCAGGAGCGAGATCCGTAAACAAAAGTTATCGATATGCTCGGTCGTACTTGTGTCATTCGTTTCAGCATTGGGTGTCGGGCCCAACCGAGGGAGTTCATCATACACCGGAAGCCGGCCTCGCCGCTTGGATTTTGCGCGTTGATGTGATAAATGTACTGCGGCACGTATCTACGGTCTTTGATGACGTGGTCAAATTTTTTCCGAAGGTCAGGTCGGAACTTCATCACTAAATGAGGTCCCAACGGTCCAGCAGCTCGCAGAACTCCCAACGGATTGAAAGGATGCAGAAGATTGACAACCAGTTTCGCCCACGCGGGGATGACAAGATATCTCTCCGTGTGCGCGGATTTCTCGGGGAGACCCCACGGGTCAACCAGGATCAGATGGGACACTCTCTCTGGGAACCTGAGCGAGTAACTCGCCGCTATGAAGCCCCCGAGCGCGTGACCGACAAATATCGCCTTCCGAATGTTCATTTGCTGTCTCCATTTCTCGACAGAGCGCACGAATTGATTTTCAACTTCAGCTGCTTCGTGAGCGAACTTCGTCCGTGAGGATCTTCCGAATCCCAGGATGTCGATGGCATAAACTGATCGTTTTCCTCCTTGACTCAGCTCATCCAGATTCAGTGCCCACATACCCAGACCGCTTCCGAAGCCATGCAGAAGAACTAGAGGCGTGGCCTGAGAATTTCCATGGATCACGAGAGTTCGAATCTCGTGTGTTCCCCGAGCAGCGGTGCAGTTGTCGATAGTTATGAAGCTGAGCTGGAACTCACTCTTCAGGTGGCATAACATCCGACTCTCGGCCTTCGCGAGCTGCGTTTCTGACGTCGGGCACCATTGGATCCATCTGGGCTTCAGGTAGTAGATAAGGCTGAGCGCGAGGTTGAGGCCCCAGATGAAGAGCGCTAGGAGAGCCTCCAAGTAAGGATGATTGTCATCCGAATGTCTCGGAGCACCGTAAATGCTGCTCAAAGATTTGTCAGCACATTCGATGCGCATAATTCTTCCAGGAGTCAGCTCACCGTTTTTTAAAGCTCAGGATCCAGCGCACCGGGACGATAAGAGTTTCCCTCATTTACCCACTATTAGCTGAAGCATTCGATCAGTCTGCGAAGGTCGCACAAAAACCGACGTTCGAATCGTGATTCACTCTCTTCGGACACCTTGTCTGTCTGTTTACGGACCGCCACCGCACAACTCCGCTGGCGGCTGACTCTCATTTAACCGCGTGTATTGAGAGAGTGGAATTCTCTTTCTCGAATCGCGGAGCCACGGAGCACTTCCAAGCGCCTCTCGTCAAGCCTGCCTCTGCGAGAAGATCGCGCTGCAAGTCTTCAATCATCCCATCGGGATCACTCCGGCTCATCCTACGAGGGGATATAGATCATACTATAGACCGTAGGCCGTGAAACGAACATAACGGATCTATGAATCAGAGGCTTGATGGCGGAATACTTCGGTAGAGAATCCGGTGTTGCCCGAACCTGCCGGAGCTGGTGTGCAGGGTGAGGGTATTATTCGTTATTCAGTCGGATGGGATCCTAAGGAGATGATGAGATGCGGATCGATGCGAATTCGCTCTCACTCACTCACTCCTTCACTCACTCACTCCTTCACTGACTCATTCACTCACTCACTCACTCACTCACTCACTCACTCACTCACTCACTCACTCACTCACTCACTCACTCACTCACTCAGATAATGATCCGGCTGCGGCTCGAGACTGAGAGCAATAACTTCTCTCATGCATGCCTCGAGATCCATCGAGGAATTGAGTCGATTGGAACGAGGTATCCCGTCATTTTTCTTTCAATAAAGCGCTCTTCGAGATACGGACCTCCTGTTCTGGTAGTGCTTCCAGAAGCCCAGCAACCCAGATTCGGAGGAAGGATTCCTCCAATATATTGGCGTTTCCCGTTCGCCCACACCACGCCCCAAGGCTAAATCAAGACCGCCGCCCTGATACAACCCATCTGGGAATGAATCCCGATTTTTCTCGGCGCTTACTCCAAGTTTTCAAGATTTCTTTTCTATTCCACAAAAAGCCTAAGGATACGTGGACTTGGATATTGTCTATGTACAGTTATTCAGTCTATCCCAGAAGAGAAAAAGAAGAGTTCCTTTCCAGAATAGTTGATCGAGTATACAAGAAGTTATGTCTCGCTTTTCGTTTCTGATACGGCTCCCCGCCTTTAATCTGGCAGCTTCGAACTCTTGGACTGAGTTGACGTCCCCGTCTCGGTCTCGAATGATTTCACTGAGTGACTTGACGAGGATCACAGACGCCCCAACCAGGGTTCTGCCGCCCCCCGAAAACTGCCGCCCCAGTCTATAGCCTACTAAGCCTACTGGGTGAATCCGCCGCTGACCCACACGCAGGATTGAAATATTCCGAGGTCGGATACACAGCAGAGCTTGTGGCCCAAGAAGACGTATTCGGGATCCTGTCACTAAAGCTCTACATAACGATAGAATGAGATACGTAAAGATCGAGTCGATTGCCGGTTGAGCAATACGAGATAAGCCCGTCATCTCTTCCCTCGTTTGTCGAGAAAGGCGCGGGCCTGCTTGAAAGAATGGAGCGCTCTTCTCTCCAAAACATTCGGGCACATTCTGACTCAAGAACACGATTTTGGAGCAGACAAGCCAGAGCCCGGTAGCGATTGCTTCAAGAGGGACACGGCACTTTCCGGCTCTTGATCCAGTCACTGTCGGATATCATGATCTATCTCCGTCACCCCCCGACGGGTATAACGGATACGATTATTATTACTATTCTACTATCCATGGTCAGCATGAGTACTATTGGATTGTTACGGTCGCTAAGTATTATCATTACGCCCAATGGCCGTACAAGCAAAGCCTCTGCGTGCGTCCGGCGCTCCGTAAGGAATGTGCTTCGCGAAGGCCGCATCGACCTGCGGGGGCTGAGGCTCGCGCGTTCCACTCCCTCAGTCCGCCCATTTCATCTACACAGGAGCGATACGAAAGCCCTCGAGCCCCGACGGGTTGCCCCAATCTCACGGTCTATCTGCACGATAGAGCCCCTTGGCGGGAAATTTTGGGCTCTACGGGTAGAAACGCGGTCTCGTAGTCTTCCGAACGGGGGGACTGAGCACTGCCTCCTCGACCTCCGCAGGACGGTCTTGTGCGGCGAGCGATTTCATGTTTTCCATATACTGCTGATTCGGAGTCCAGAGACCAGAGAATCCACGGAAGCTTCTCTGATTGCGACAAGTCTCCTGCCGCAGGAGTATCGCGCTCTCTCTTCTCGAATCTCTCCCCATCGTCTCTGGAGATCATAAGATATTCGCGGGGAATGGAATGCTCCTATAGGGGGGAGGTCAAATCAGTCGTATATGCATAATTCAAAACTGCTGACTCCATATCAGTAGTAAGAGGGTCTTTTGAGAATCAATTGCTTGAGTGTAAGGAGTTTCGGGCAGGAGGGGCGATGAAAGTTGCCGTGGAGCTCACAAGCCGAACACCCGGGGCATTTGACGCTCTGAGGCGGCATTTCCCGAAGGTGCTACGGGCGGAATCTCGGCCGGGTGAAGTGTTGGCTCGCATGGTCCGTAATAGAAACCGATAAACAAAACGAAATGATGATATGACTCGAATATAAAGGAATAAGGGATTCATCATAGATGTATTCTCGTAATTATGTCTCCGTCGCGTATTCACCTCGCGATATCTACGCGTGTCCTTTCTATAGATATCAGATCGCATAAATGAATAACGCATGAATGAGGACGAGAAATGAAGCAACTCTGTCTCATGGAACCCCACTCGTGGTCCGACTCAACTGTATATGGAACTAGAGCGAGCGCGCGGTTCTGCCGAGTAGCCTCACCGATGGAGACTCACAGCATTGGAGAGCAAGCCCATTTTCGCCAGCGAGCCCTGTCTCCAGCAAAATATTTTTTTCCCTTGAGGAAACCTCGTGACAGAGTCGGTCGATCCAGTTCAAGCATGACGCGAGGAAGCAGCAATTGAGCCTTTTAGTGCATGTCGCACCTTCTCTATTCCTCCACCGCGCTCCGATGATGTTCCTGGTGGCAATAAAACGAGCAGAATGCTAAATTCCGTTTGCGGTCTGTGAGAATTTCGAACCGGAATCCCGAGTGGCTAATACCACGGGCCTCGAAAGTGAAAAATAAACTTGTTGCTACTGCCGCGGAAGAGATGAAATGGATTGCCGCTCATTGCTTGAGGTCAATCGCACTCGGCCCGTGTTTGCTTCAATCATCTTCTTTCTCTCATCAAAGATCCCGACCGTCGTGACGGTCGTCAGGATCCAATGCACTTCAGCTTCGGCGAGCTTGAGACAAACACGGAAACACACCAGTAGCTCGAGACTGGCTTCGGATGGGATGGCAGATGCCGGGACTGGATCTCGCTTGCGGCCTTCACCGACTCATTCACTCTCAAAGTCTACACGCAATCCTTCATCTAGCACTCGAAAGTCGACTTTGGCGATCCTGACCTAATGCTTACTAGGAAGTCTTGCTCCGGAACACTCGAGAGCGGCGGGATGAGAAGGAGAGTTTCTGGATCTTTCCTTACACTCCCCAGACGTCTCTGGTGGCTACCGTCGGCTGCTCGGTTAGTCCCTTGATTTGAAGACGGATCAAGCTGGACCGTGGATGTGAAATGTGACTTGGAAGGCTTTATTCAACCCGCATCGTGAAGACTCAGCGACGATGTACGATTTGGTCCGCAGCACGGCGAAGACCCGTCTCGAAAACCGCGGATGTTTTGGCGTTTATGACCTTGTGGGTCCACACATGCATGCAGGCAGGGAATCAGATGCTATCCATCTGTAACAGTGCTCGTTTCCTCGAATTCGACGGCTTCACATCATACCGCCGCCAGTTCCGCCACCACCACAGACTAGATATCTTCAAAGCAGACGACTGAAGAGCAGTCGCCGAGCGAAAACAAACCACATGGTCTATGACATCACATGGACTTCAAAAACACTAATTCCCCGTCTGTCGGAATTATCGGAGTCGGCCGACCGACTGATTCGCCCGCTCGGCGGCGGGATTGCCGGCTGGTACGATTTCGCCGCGTAGAGCACTGTCTGATTGAAATGGAGGAGCTCTGACTCACTCCTAGAAACTAGAAACGCTTTAGAGCTGGCTAAACGAAAACCATGCACAGCGGAAGGATCTTCAAAGTTATTTTTCCCAGATATTGACCTGCTCCCGACCGGGCGGCTCCTGGAAAATCAAATCGGATACAGCGAATCGTATGTCAAAGGTGTCGAAAACCCTGTGCCAGACATATTGAACATATCCGATGAATTTCCGCCGCCGAGGTTTGTCCGACCGAGTTCTCTAAGCCGACATCTTCATCTTACGCAAGGAGACTTGATCTCCATTCAAGATTCCAAGGCTCCCAAGCCGACCATGGTGGGAGATTCGTCTCGTAGCATCACTGGCTCGTTGTGACTAAGGTATTCCTCGATCGATTGGAGATCGCACTCTCATGGCTTCATAGCTCATTTCCGGTTATTGATAATAATAGCTCATTATTCATCGTCCCCTGATCGAGCCCGAAGATGCTGTCGACATCAACTCCCCTCTATGAATACAGCCGGTTATGTCCACAGTATTTCGCCAGCTCGACTCGCGATTTCACTGTCGGCGCTCGATGAGCCAGGACCCTTAGGCGCAATCGGATCCGTTTCCCCAGTGTATTGCCCAGTGAGACATCTTATCCTCCCAAGGTTTTGCGGGTCAAGCCAACCCTAGCAGATTTTTTTCTCGCTCGGCGCGAAATTTCTCGATCCCTCGATTTTTTTGCGGGATGCATCGGAAATCCTCCATGCGAAGCGCTGACTTCCACCGGGGGAAGTTTCCTCTATCCTATCGAGGGAGCCGCGACGCAATGATTGAAGAGAAGTTTTCGCCTCTTTTATGAATCTCTCCGCCAACGCCGATCAATCGGTAACTTCTCAGAAGGGGGTAGAGCTAAACCCGTTCTCGTCTCCACACTCACTCAGAGATGGTGACCGCTCTGAAGATCATTCATCGGCTTCGAGCAGCTTCCCCCTTTGATCAAGAGAAGTGCTTGGGTGCGATCGCCGCACAGTAACACCCGAAAGAACTCCCGAAATGAAAGGAATCTCCGTACTTCTATCGATTAGTGAACGTAACCCCAATTCACTGTCTACAGATC